ATGCTGTTCCAACAGTAAATGGGCAGAAATACCCTTTAACCCAAACAATTCCAATTCTGCAGACATTCAGGTTCACATGAAGTGGCAAATATTTTACTCATATTGTAACTGTCATTTTATAGAACTTTTCTCTCCTTTCTTGATATTTAAACTATGCAACTCATATATTATAACATGTTTTTATGATGGCAAAATTAGAAAATATCAAGTGTGTGCCAGTAGCTCATACCTGTAAACCTAACTACTGTAGATACAGAAGATTTCAGCTCAAACCCAGCCTGGACAGAAAAGTCCATGAGACTCTATCTCCCAAATAGCCAACAAAACTCTCGGTCAAAATTTTCTTAATAAAGACCCAGAAACACAACAAGCCAAAAAAAGGTTGGTCAAATAGAATTGCATTAAACTGCAGGGCTTCTACATGGGAAAGGACATAGCTGGCAAGATCAATAGAAAGCCCACAGACTGGGAGAAGATTTTTTACTAGTCATACAACAGACAAGGGTTTCATATCTAAAATACACTTAGAACTCAAGAAATTAAATCCCCCAAAAACAAATCCTCAAGGAAACAACCACCCCATTAATAAGTAGGCTAAAGACTTAAAGAGAGCCTTCTCTGGAAAGAAAGTAAGAATGGCCAATGGACATATGAAGAAATGTTCAACTTCTCTGGCCATAAAAGAAATGCAAATCAAAACAACATTGAGATTCCACTTCACCCCAGTTAGAATGGCTATAATCAAGAAATCTAGTAACAACAGATGCTGGAGGGATGTGGCCAAAAGGGAACCCTACTGCATTGTTGGTGGGAGTATAAACTTGTTCAACCACTTTGGAAAGTAGTACGGAGGCTCTCAAAAGACTCCACATAGAGCTCCCTATGACCCAGCAATCCCACTTTTGGGCATTTACCCAAATGATCACAAGGCCATACTAAAGCTACTAGCACAACTATGTTTATTGCAGCATTATTCACCATAGCTAAGATATGGAACCAACCCAGATGCCCTTCAGTATATATACAATGGAATTCTATGCTTCCATCTGAAAGAATGACTCCACTCCATTTGTTAGGAAATGGAAAGACTTGGAAAAAATCATATTAAGGGCTGGGAAGGTGGCTCAGTGGTAGAGCGCTTGCCTTGCATGCATGAGGCCCTAGGTTCAATTCCTCAGCACCACATAAGCAAAAAGGAAAAAGCCGGAAGTAGTGCTGTGGCTCAAGTGGTAGAGCGCTAGCCTTGAGCTGAAGAGCTGAGGGACAGCACCCAGGCCCAGAGTTCAGAACCCACGACCAGACCCCCCGCCCCCCAAAAAATCATATTAAATGAAGTAAGCCAGATCCAAAGTCCCATGGTTTCCCTTATTGCAATAATCAGTATACATCTAGGATAATCTTAGCAGATGAGCAGAATAGCTCAAATAGCTATTTACATATAACCACATAAGATGATGCTAAGCAAAATGAACTCTAAGACATGGACACAAGAGGTTTTTCTTTGTTGTTGTTTTTAGTGTATATTGTGATTTTTTTTTTGTTCCTTTGTATGTTCTTCCCCCTATGGTATATCCCCTGTTGTCACTGTATTTGATTTTGGTACCCTCGTATTGTATATACAGTTATTTGAATTAGGGAAGGGAAGGGGAACAACAGAATGGCGAGACAAAGGACAAGCGGGGAGCCAATGCGACAGCGACATACACAAGACTATATGTTGGAAAGGATCTGTACAACTTAGGGGTGGGAGTGGGGGGAGGGAAAGTAGGAGAAAAATGAGGGAAGGGGTAACAAGTTTGATAAGAAATGTACTTATTACCTTATTTATGTAACTGTAATCCCTCTGTACGTCACCTTGACAATTAAAAAAATTAGCCAACAGAAAGCTAGGCAGGAGATGTTACTCAAGGGGGAAATGCCAGCCTCACAAGCAAGCCAAGCAAATGTGAGGCCTGAGTTCAAACCTCAGTCTCCATGAAAAACTAAAAGGGAAAAAAATAGTGATTGTAAACTTCCTAAATGTCCTTTCCTTCTGTGATAGTAGTGTGAACTCCATCAGAGTAGAAGATATTTTTGTCTTATTTTTATTGCATTCTCAGCTAATGGATACTGTGTTTGACACTATAAATACTTATTAAATGAGCCAACAACATTAATGAATCTGCACAACTGAAATTAAAGTGAAGCAAGTAAGCCAAAAGCAAGTGGCAGATCATTTTGCATGCCATTCTTATAAACATATGTGTACACCTAAATTTATATACGTTTTAATTTATATGAAAAGAAAAGGAAATTACCTCTTGTTTACCTGTTGTAGAAGAAAAGTACTATTGATAATTCACTCCATACACAACTAGTATGTTTTTATTTTTAAAGCAATATCATAAAATAGAACTTTAAAGCATCAGTTTATGCCTTTTTTATTTGCCTTACTGGTTTTTTTTTGTTTTTTTTTTTTGTTGTTGTTGGTCATATGGCTTGAACTCTGGGCCTGGGCTCTGTCTATGAACTCTTCAGCTCAAGGCAAGCACTCTACAACTTGATCCATGAGTCCACTTCCAGTTTTCTGGTGGTTAATTGGCGATAAGAGTCTTGTGGGCTTTCCTGCCTGGGCTGGCTTTGAACCATTATCCTGATATCTCAGCCACATGATTAGCTAGGATGACAGCCATGAGCCACCAGTGCCTAGGTTTCTTTACTGGTTTTTTTTTTTTTTTTCTGTTCTGGAGATCCAACCCAGGGCTTTGTACATACCAGGCAAATACTCCACCACAAAACTACAATCCTCTTGTCCCACTGTTTGTAGAGTGTGTGTGTGTGTGTGTGTGTGTGTATGTGTGTGTGTGTGTTTTAAAAAAAAAAGGTTAATTGGAGATAAGTCAGAAGTCTCTAGACTTTCCTGTTCAGACTAGTTTTGAACTAGTATTCTCAGATCTCAGTCTCCTGAGTAACTAGGATTATTGACATGATCCACTGTCTCCTGGACAGTCTTTTAATTTTTAAAAGTTTAAATATAGTCATGGAAGATTTGTAGCAATAACAGTTTGTTTTTTTACTAAGTATTCTAGTAGAGGAAAATGTAGTAAAGAAATGAATATTTGTCCCTTACAAAGTATTATAAAGAAAAAGAAAACAGTGTAAGGGAACTAATGACATAATGCTATTTTTCATAAGAGGAGTCAGAGACTGTTTATTTGGTCTTTTGTTTTTTTTTCACCCCCACCCCCCATGTCCTGGGGCCTGAACTCTGGGCTTGAGCACTATCCCTGAGCCTCTTTGTGCTCAAGGCTATTGCCCTATCCCTTGAGGCACAGTACCACTTCAGGCTTTCTCTGAGTAGTTTATTAGAGATAAGACTTTCCTGCGTGAGCTGGCTTGGATCCTCAGATCTCAGTCTCCTGAGTAGCTAGGATTACTGACTTGAGTCACCGGCACCCAGCTCAGAGACTTTCTCTGTCTGTGATGTTTAAGAAGAGTCCTGAGTAAAGTAGTAAGCCATCATTGTTTGTAAAGACAGTCCTCCAAATACAAAGTCAGGAGCTAGCCTGGACAATTGCCATGGTTCAGTAGAGTGTAGAGAGCAAAGTTGGGGGAGATGTGGTCAGACAGATGGGAGATGATATCCCAAGGCAAGGACTTTACTTGTGTGTGTGTGCAGGGAGGGAGGGAGAGGAGCACCTTCCCTGACGTTTTTTGCTCAATGTGAGCACTCTACCACTTGAGTCACAGCTTTACTTCCAGCCCTTTGGTGGTTAGAGATAAGAGTCTCATGGACTTTTCTGCCTGGGCTACCTTTGAACTGCAATCCTCAGTGTAAATTTTAGCCAAAAGGCAGAAAAGAATTTATTGGGGGCAGAACATACTGCCAGCTTCACAAGAAAGAGGCCTGTGAAGAGAGGAAGGGAAGGGGAAAGAGGGCAACTTCTGGCGGGACTGGGGTTAATATAGGGAGAAGACTCAGAGGAGGAATGGTCATGCAGATGTGACCAGACCTGACCTCAGAGTCTGGGAACCCCCCATGGCCCACAGGAGGCCTGACTGGGTGGTCCAGGATGTGACTGGATGTGACTGCTCCCCTGTGTGCGTCACCTGGGTAACTCAGGTGCTGCACTTCTGGGGTTGACGTGCAGTCCTGCATGAAAAACAAAGGGGAAGGGGAAGTCTGCCTGCAGACTGCCATGGAGAAAGCAGCCTTTTTCCCTCGCAGGCAACTCTCAGACTTCCACGATCTGGATAGCTGATATTATAGGCATGAACCACTGATGCCTGACAAGAACTTTTTATTTACTTCTTTTCTTATTTTGTGGGTCAAGGAGTTTGAATTTAGAGCCTGTGGTCTATCCCTGAGCTTTTAAGCTCAACTCTAGCACTCTACCACTTTGAGCTACAGAGCCACTTCTGGTTTTCTGGTTGTTAATTGGAGATAAGAGACTCACTGACTTTCCTTCCTGGGCTGGCTTCAAACCATGACCCTGAGTTCTCAGCCTCTTGAATAGCTAGGATTACATGTGTGAGTCACTGGCACCTGGCCAGAACTTTACATTTTATTTTATATGGTAGAAACGTTTTGGAGGTAGTTAACAGTAAAGTGACTTGATCTAATTTTTCAATTTAAAAGATGATTGCAGTAGCCCTGTGGAAAAGATGATGACAGCTAATATCAGGGTAATGATGGTAGTGTTGGTATGAAATGGTGGAATTCTTCATACAGAGCTGAGTTGAAAAAAACTTGCTGATATGAGATAAAAGAAAAAGGAAATGTCAGAGAATTAAAACATCACTCCCAAGAAATTTGATCTGGAATATGAGGGTGGCAAGCTTCTACTGAGGCTGAGATCTTTTACCAAAAATCTTGATAGCTATGGTAAGTCCAAGGTTTTTGAATATTACTGTGTGAGAGAAAAATTCCCATTAACTTTCACAAATTGTATAGAAATTAGACATCATGATTCCATACCAAATTTGATGTATATTTACCTTTAAGTGTATATATTTAAAAGTATTAACTTGAAACTATCTTGCTATTAAATATATATTTACCTCTAATTTCTCTCATAGTTAGCTTTACTGACATACTTACCACTAACAGTATAAAGAAGTAAATCATCTTGTTGTTTTGAACTCTTGAAAATTTGTGGTTTAATATTTTTTAAGTATAAGTAAAATAAGGTAAAATAAGTAAAGTAAAATCCCAGCAATAGTATGCACTAACCAAAAATTACTTGAGAGCTGGGAAGGTGGCTCAGCGATAGAGCGCTTGCCTTGCATGCATGAGGCCCTAGATTCAATTCCTCAGCACCACATAAGCAAAAAAGAAAAAAAAAAAACCCGAAGTGGCTCTGTGGCTCAAGTGGTAGCTTGCTAGCCTTGAGCTGAAAAGCTGAGGGACAGCGTCCAGGCCCAGAGTTCAGGCGCCACGACCGGACCAAAAAAAAAAAAATTACTTGAATTTAAATCACTAAAGATCTTATTTTCAAAATATAAATTCCTGATCTTACATCATATTTTTTTACATTATAGTTTAATCTGAAAAATAAATGTGTAAAATAAGGTTCAACTTATACACTTATGCTATGTCATCTAATAAGGGCCTGCAGGCTTGCATTTCCTGTAGTTAAAATTACTTGCAGGTAATCTATTGCATGTGCAAATGACCACTTAAAGACATGCCCTGTTAGTAGTAGATATAATAAAATACCTGTAATCAGTTCTGAGATCATGAAATTACTAGCAAATTTCAGTTTTGTTTCGCCATTAACATCTTAATTTGGAGACCACCAACATATTTGGTGTAGAGGAAAAAAAATCTATATGTCGATGTTTTAATAAAATATTGATAATAAAATATTGATAATGTTTTCTGTGACTAAAAGTAGAATGCTCCATTTTGTTGCTTGTTTTTGATCTGACATCCTGTTGTCTCTGTATTCACCAGTGACATAAATAAAACTGTGCTTACAGTTCTAGGCCTTTATTCAATAATTTCCCCCATTTTTTTCTATTTATTACCTAGAAATCATTTATTCAATAAACATTTGTTGAGAGTTTACCATAATACCTTTTTAATCTTGGCTTCATGTCAAATCTTCTGTAAAGATTTTTAGTGTAGTTGATTACTTGGTAATGAATCAACCCCTGAAACAATCTCAGTAGGTCTGTAGTGGGGACGGAAATCTTTATTTTTGTCAAAAATGCTACAAGTAACTGTGATGTTCACTCAGAGTTAAGAATTAATAGGCTTTCCTGTCAAGAGCTAGGAATGTAAGTGTGAACAGGAAATAGTTGTTATTTGCCCAAAGATCAGAGCCAAATGGGAGCAATGGATGAAGTAATCAGGGTAATTACAGTAGAGAATCATAAGTGCTTTAGTAGGGGTAAACATACCTCTTCCTACTGAGAATTAAAACATTAGTCCTTTGTTAACTAAATCCATTGAGAAACTATAAAACACAAAACGATTTTATCTCTTCACCAAACCAAATGATCCAAATTGTGATTGAGACCGTATTTTCTGCCTTACCTACTCTTCCTTAATCAAATGAATTAGCTATACCAGACTCTGTGATTAAACTCAGGAAATGGAAAAGCAGAGAGACTAGTTTCTATTTCTGATAAAAGACTATGGGAGATAAGTAAGGGGTGAAGAATTGCAAAATAACATGCTTCACCAAAGTAGCAGAGACCATGTTTCAGTCTCATCAAGATTTTCCTTCTATGCCTAAATCAGAATCCTGCATGAGGGTGGCATTGAATCTGATGTGTATTTTTTAGACTTTTTTTTTCCTGATGACTTATAAGTAGATGCTCTTAGCTAGTCTGTATATATCCAATATAATTCTATCCTTTGCTCTCTGACCAGTGAATTTAATGAGATAACCTTTTCTTCCGTTTCCAGAGGTACAGAACATTTATGTATCTTTCAGCTTTATAACTCAAAGATTCTTACTAAATCCTTCATATTCGCATTCTTCTTTTCTATTTGTGTCATTGATAGTTGTATTGTTCTCACTGCTTTAATATTCATTACCATATGCTAATTTTATGTTCAGTCTTTTCACTTTACTTTCATAAATTTTACAAATTACTCCTGTAAACAGAAAGCAGCCATGGAAATTTAACCTATTTGAAATCAAGGAAGATTTGTGCTGGATTCCTCAAGCAACACCAAAATTCTCTACAAAATACATTGCTCACAGCTATCCTGTGTAATTTCCTGGCCCTTAAAAGTGGGAATTGGGGAGTTTAACAATGCCACATCTAGAAATCCTTTGCTGGAAATCTACATGATATAATGTAGGCCATAACTCTATAAACAATACTAAGAAAGCCCCACAAGGAAAGACCTAAATATAATTGAAAACTTTATAATGTTCATTTTCACTGACTTAGTGACATTAGAAAGATCTAATTAAGCTTTATAAAAGAGACATTTGTCTGATTGCAATGTTAATTGATCAGCTGCAGGTTCATATGTAGCATGGACATATCTAATGTGAGTATGAATTATATAAACTTAAAGTTGTAAAATATAAAATATTAGTAAAATCTCACCTTAGATAAATACTTTGAAATAATGATATATTTTCTCAGGTTAAAAGAGTTAGTCATGGATCTTATAGTTTTACAAGTAGCAAACTTTATGAATTACAAATTGTCTTACTGACATCAGAAAGTGACATTTTAGCTGTGAAATAAAAATGTCTAGCATACTTTGTCAGGTCAAATGAACTCATGCTATTGACTGTACTAGAATTTCTAGTATGATCACAGACATCATTTTTTATTGTTTTTGTTGTTGTTATGCAGCATTCCATGCTTTTGATAGTTTTTCTAATATGAGTTCAGTGACAGCAGCTTGCAAATAGTTAAGCTTTCTGCTTTTCTGTTTCATGAATTTAGTTAACAGTAAGCTAGCTGTGGCTATCTTGCTACTATGCTTTTTTTTACATTTTATTTTATTGTAAAGATGCTGGACAGAGAAGTTACAGTTACATGAGTAAGGTAATGAGCACATTTCCTATCAAGCATTGTTACCCCTCCTTTGTTTTTTCCCTACTGTTCCTTACCTCACTACCTCCCCAACTTCACACCTCCAAAATTGTAAAGTTCATTTTCAACATAGTGTCTTGTATGTCTCATTGTTACAATGGGTTGACCTGTATCCTCGTTTCAGCATTTTGTTATTTCCCTTCCTCTCCACAAATTAGAAAAATGTATATACAAGATTCAGGGCACCAGAATCAAATACAGTGACAACAGGGGGTTATATCATGGGGGAAGAACATACAAAAGAAACAAAAAAAAAAAATCACATAGTACATTAAAAAAAACTGATAAAGAATCTGATAAAGAAAAAACCTTGTGTCCCTAATCTGGGTTCATTTCACTTAGCATCATCTTATATGGTCACATATGCATAGCTTTTGACCTTTTCTGCTTGTCTGGTAAGATTATCCTAGACATATACTAGTTATTGCAAATAAGGGAAACCATGGCACCTATGTTTCTGCGGATCTGGCTTACTTCATTTAATATAATTTTTGCAAGTGTTTCCATTTCCTCACAAATAGGGCAGTATCATTCTTTCTGATGGAGGCATAAAATATATATATATATATATATATATATACATATATATGTGTGTGTGTGTGTGTGTATATATATATATATATATATATATATATATATATATATATATATACACCAAATTTTCTTGATCCATTTATCTACTGAGGGGCATCTGGGTTGGTTTCATATCTTAGCTATGGTGAAGAATGCTGTGATAAACATAGTTGTGCTGGTAGCTTTAGTATGGCCTTTTTTCTCACTGCAATGTTTAAAACTGCATTCTGAAATGGATACTTCGAAGTGAAGATTCTGTGATAAAATGTCATGCTCTGAATTCTTGTAAAATATTTTTTTTAAAGTGCTAAGAAAATAATTAAATCATTATAGTAAAAATGGCCTACTCTATTTGTTGACCCCGGTTCATTCATGTTTGCTTTTACTTGAAAATAAAGTGTATTTTCTATTGCATTTCTCTTCTGAGAAAATTAGTCTTAAGATTTAGGTTGTAGAATGACTAGGAATTGGACTTTCCTGAAGCATCTTCTAATCTAAACTCCTTCCAATCGAAGCCCCAAAATGTGAATAGTGCCATGTTTGTTCAGATCCTTAGACTACTCTAAAACACATTTTTCAATGGCCCAAACTGTAGAACTGGATAACAAACAGAATGAAACTGACCTTCTTCAGCTTTGGAATTGACATCTGAGAAATTTGTAGGTTGTAAGATAAGTTCTCTTATATCATAAGTTCTCTTATATCATCTTATATTTTCTTGCCTTTTGGCAAATCAATTTTTGTAGAGGAAAAGTGAGTCTATCACACTGATAGTTTATTTTGACCACTAGATTCTCAGCTTTTATACAGATAAGATACATTTCATGCCCCGCCCTGTGGCTCACACCTTTAATCCTAGCTACTCTGGAGACTGGGACCTGAGGAGCCAGCCAGGCAGAAAAGTCACTTTGACAGTGTTATCTCCAATTAACCATTCAAAAACTGGAAGTGGTCCAGGAAGGAGATCTCTACCTTCAGCACAGATAAGCTCAGGGACGAACACCCAAGCCCTGAGCCACATAACTGAACAACAATAACAAAAATAAGTTTATTTTAGATTAATTTAGTTTATAAACTTACAAATAAATGCCTTGGGTAAGTATGCAAGTGTTTCCTTTTTTTTTTTTTTTAAACCAATGTATCAACTGAAATATGGTAGATTCAAGGGAAAACTCAAATTCCTTAGAAAGACAGTTCTACAAAATAAACACTAGGAAAAGGTACTTGAAAGGATCGTGGTAGGGTCCGGGGAAAAGGGAGACAAAAAGGAGAGAATGCAGTCAATGTATATCCTGCAAAATTAACAAGAGTGAGAGAGAAGGGGTGATAGGAGAGGGAAAGGTGAGAATGTTGAAAGAGTTGATTCTGATCACTATGCATTGAATTCATAAACTGCATGCCTCTCATTCTGTAATCCACTCCCCAGAGAAATTTGGTCAAGTATTTCTATACTTTACTTAAATGTACATATTACTGAAATGTAAACTAGGATACTAGATTTGAATGATTTACTTTTTTTCTAAGAGGCACATTGAGGAAGTGGCACTGTAGCTCAAATGGTGGAGTGCTCCCGCCCAGGCCCAGAGTCCATGACCGACCAAAAAACAAAACAAACAAAGCAAAACAAGAAGCACATTGAGATTATTCATTAATGGGAAATCTGGAATGAAAACATTATTTCGCTACAGAATAATATTTTTTGGAAACCTGCTGGTAAACCAAAGAAAAATCTATAAATTATGGAATGGTATACATTAATATGTATATTGATGGTTGTGAATTTAAGGAAAATATATTTGCTGTTTTCTTAATTTCATTTTTATACTTATTTCTGGTTATTATATAGGAATACAATGATTTTTGCCTGGTAATTTTTTGCTTTGTTTAACATAATTTCTGACAGTTTTTGTACATGTGGAGTCTTTAAGATTTTCTCCTTATATGATCATTCAATTCAAATACAGATAATCTTACCTTTTCTTTTCCATTCTGAAATGTATTTTTGTTATTTGGAGGAAGGATTGGACTTTGTTTTTTGTGGGTTTTTTTTAACTTGTTTTTTTTTTCTAATTCCTATAACTTGAAGTTTAAACACTATGTAAATACTAGTGGTAAAAAGCAGATAGCCTTCTTGATATTAAACAGAATTTTTTTGATTATTATGAGCTTTCCATGTATGACTTTATTATTTTCTGCTAGTCTTTCTGTTCCTATTTTGTTGAATTATTTATAATAGATTTGACTTTTATCAAATACATTTTCAACATCACTATGTTACTTGTGCTATTTTCATATGTTGAATCATAGTTGCATTTCAGCATTAAATATCAATTGGTCATGGTGAATAATCCTTTTAATTTGTTGCTGAATTTATTTTGCAGGTATTTTGTAAGGGTTTTTATATTCAGGTTCAGAAGTGATATTGGTTTATACTTTCATTTCCTTTTGGTATGTTTGGCTTTAGTTTCAAGGTAACAATGACCTAAAAATGATTTGGGACATGATTCCTTCTTTTAAGATATTTAATATTGATCTTAATTCCTCTTATAAATGTTTGGCAAAATTCAGTAACTACAGTAAAATTCAGAAACTATGACATCTAGTTTGAGGCTTTTTCTTTGTAAGTAGCCTTTTAATTACTGATTCTATCCATGCCCTGTTACACATCTATTCTGATTGTCAATTTTACTTTAGTCAGTTTCAGCACTTGGTCTTTCCAGGATTAGCCATACTAAGGAAAATACAGTTATTTCCATATAAAACTATTTGTTTATATTTTGTAGGCAATTTATCTTCTGCTACATTGACCTTATTCTCAGTAAGAAAATGTTTCTCTTTGTGTTTTCATAATTCTCCATTTTAAAAGCTTATTTCGTCTAATAGTAATAAAATAAACTCTCCAGCTTTTTAAAAGCTTACTCTCTATGTTAAATTTTTCTAAGCCCTTTGCATACTTTCTACTATTATTTAATAGTTAACCTATATGTCTTGTAAATAAAACACAGTTTGGTCTTTCTGCTTTTTCAGTCTCTATATTTTTATTGGAGTGTTTTAGTATACTTTTGTTTAATTATTGATATTTGAATTTATTTTTTCATTAAGCTCTATTAAGCTGATGAGAAATTTGCTTCTGTTCATTATTTTTGTTCTCCTTTATATAATGTGCTGAGATCTTTGTTTTGGTTTTTGTTTCTTTTTTACTGTTCTCATGATTTTTCTTGTTATCTTTGGCGTGGAATAGTTGGTTATGATGTACCTAAGTGCAATGTTCTTTGTATATTCTGTTTGTGGTTCCTTGAGTTTCTTATAGTTGTGAGTGTGTGTTCTTCAGCAAAGTTGGGAAACTATTATATTATTATTTCTTCAAATAATTTTCTGTCTTTGTTTGGCCATAGTTAATCTTTATTTGTTACTAAAGATATTTACGACATATGTGATTTTTAAACCTTGGAAGAATGCTTAACAATGAGAGAAGTAGGAATGAAACGTGAAGAAAATTTAATTCGTTAAATATACATATACACTACACTATAGTACATATAAAGTGAATTATATTAATGTTACCTGTCCTCTTCCTGTTCTTAAAAAAATCTGTCCTTAGGTGCATTTCCTCCCTCTGCTATTTATTCACGAAAAGACTTGCTACAACGATCTACCCATATTGCTACCAAGACTTTCCAAGCTCTCCGCATATTTGTGAACAATGAGCTCAATGAACTCTACTCAGGACTGAAGACAGCTCAGAAATTTCTGAGGCCCGGTGGTCGCCTTGTTGCCCTCTCCTTCCATTCATTAGAGGACCGCATTGTCAAACGATTTTTGCTTGGCATAAGCCTTACTGAAAGATTTAACCTAAGTGTTAGACAGAAAGTGAAACAAACACTGCAGTTGGGTTCAAACCATGAAGACAAAGAAGAAATCTCTGCAAGAGCTCCCTTAATGTGGGAATTGATACACAAGAAGGTACTTACTCCAGACGATGGAGAGGTACAAGATAACCCCAGAGGACGCTCAGCCAAACTTAGAGCGGCTAAAAAGTTAAGAAATTAATCAATCTCTGATCTTCCACTAGTCTTTCTATTTTTCTAGTTATTTTAATGTCATATTCCTGCACAGTTTAACACAGCTTAAAATATGAGAGAATATGGAAAGTTATAGTATTTAGCATTATTTTTTTTTCTCAAGAAAATGGAATAAATTTCAGCATGACATAGAATGCTCAAGTCAGGTTGCAGCAAAATCTCAAAACTGGATAAAATATTTCCATTTCTCTTATTTTTTACTTTTGAATAACCATTCTTAATGAGAAAAGATTTTAAAGACTACTATGTTGTGTTATCTAAATATGTAAACGCAAGCTGCCAAAGAGAAAGATGCTATAATCATGTCTGCATGACCTAAATTCTAAATTTGTGTACACATTTGCAACAGACTTTCTATGGCTTAAATAATTAATGATAATCAGGGAATATATTTTAATTTTCCTAGTTGTGAATAATTGTTTACTATAGCTTTCTCAAGTGTAAACTTTTTTTGAAATAAATTTTAAGTTTCAAATATTACTTTAAGATTTACTAAACTGTGGGCTGGGAAGGTGGCTCAGTGGTAGAGCACTTGCCTTGCATGCCTGAGGCCCTGGGTTCAGTTCCTCAGCACCACATAAGCAAAACACAAAAGCCGGAAGTGGCGCTGTGGCTCAAGTGGTAGAGTGCTAGCCTTGAGCTGAAGAACTGAGGGACAGTGCCCAGGCCCAGAGTTCAGGCTCCACGACTGGACCCAAAAAAAGAAAAAAAAAAAAGATTTACTAAACTGATCATTACCTAATGGGATTTTACAATATGCTTGGACTTTGTTTCATGTTTTGCATATAAGGATGTAAGCCTGCCTACCAGATATCATGGAGAATTATTGCAAAACTTATTTAATGTTATTGTGTTTATTTTAATAATAACATAGAATCCTATGGTTTTTATTAACATCTATTAATTTTAAAAAGGGATTTATCATATTTCCATATATACTTCTAATGTATTTTCATCAAATTCACCTCTTTATTATACCTTGAACCTTGCATTTTTAATTGAGCTATTAAAGGAATTCAGAAATCTATTTGAAATAGAAAACTGTCTGATTTATTCAACATGGTAAATGAATGTTCCCTTAACACTTTTATGCAGATTTAGTAGGATAAATAAAAAAAATGTTTTTTAGATGAGTACTTGGCAAAGTATTCTTTAATAAAATGGGATTGATAATTCACATATCATCTTTTTATATATAAATATTTCTAATGTATTCAGCCAGTAATAAAATTAACACTTTAAAAATAGAGGTCAGCTGGACACCAGTGGCTCACACCTGTAATCCTAGCTACTCAGGAGGCTGAGATGTGAGGATCACGGTTCAAAGCCAGCCCAGGCAGGAAAGTCTGTGAGACTCTTATCTCCAATAAACCACTAGAAAACCAGAAGTGGTGCTGTGGCTCAAGTGAGCTCTCTCCTTGAGCTGAAGAGCGCAGGGATAGCGCCCAAGCCCAGAGTTCAAGCCTCATGACTGATCAAAAAAAAAAAAAAAAAATATATATATATATATATATATATGCCAGTGTACTGCACAAGGCCCATAATGACTGTCCTATGGAGCTTGTAGTTAAGTGAAAGAAAATGATGTTAGTTAAATGATCACCAAATTCAATATAATTAACACAGTGTTAAATTCCAAGAAGCAGTTTATGGTCCTTTAGTGATTTAAGTAGAATGTTTAGTGGGCTTGATCTGTTGTAATAAATCGGGTTTGAAAACAAGGTATGAGAATTTTCACTAGAAAAATGAGTAGAAAATAATTCAAGTATATGGAATAGAAAGCAAGTATGATGATAGAAGATACATGTAAAAAAAAAGACTCCTTTAAATACGTGTCCTTGAAATCCTATTTAGAGTGATCATTTCTTCAATAAACTATTACTTCAAGTGCAGGAAAAATTTATATTCTCCTTTATGCTTACAAGTTATAAATAAGTGAATCCAGATGAATGAATTGCAGTATAACTATATTGGTGAAATAGATGAGAATTAAATCTATGAATTTACCTCAGACTTACTTTATCTATTCAGTTATATTTACCTTTAGTTCTAAAGCTTTTTTGCTGCTTTTACTTTACAGCCTGTATTTCAATCTGAACACTCCTATAATGAAATCAGAATTAGAAAATTCTGCAATCAAATTACAAACAAAGCCATGCACTTAGGTTAACCCCCTGAATATTATGTTTATGAATGGGAAAGATTTACAAAGGTAAGTTCGGGTCTGCGTATCTGATTAGATAATAAATGCCAAGCCAAATGGCACGTGTCTATAATACTTACCTTTCAGGAGATAGAGTTTGGGAATATATGATGGTTTAAGACAAAGAGTTAGTAAGAGTCCTTTCTGAGCCAACAAACCAAGGTTGTGCTACACATCTGCAATCTTAGCTACTTAGGAAGTGGAGATTTTTGAGGATCATGGTTTGAGGCTAGTCTGAGCAAAAAGTTGGTAAGAACCCAACTTAACAAATAAGCTGGTGTGGTGGTGTTTGCTGTAATCCCAGCTGAATAGGAGGTTTACACAGGAGGATCATAACCAGTTCAGACAAAAATGACAAATGGAGAGAGAGAGGAGTGGTGGGCAAATGCAGTCATAACATTCAGTGTGTATATGTAAAAATGAAACTAGGTAATTGAGGTAATGGATGGGATTGGGAGGTGTGAGGGAGAATGATAGAAGAAGTGATACTGATCACCATGCATATAGTATATTGAGTCGAAATCCCTTTGTTCAATTCTTTTTCTTTTTTTATTGGTATTGTACTGGTTATGTACAGAGGTGTTACAGTTACATAAGTCAGGTAATTAGTACATTTTTTTTGGACAATGTCACTTCCCTTTGTACAATTTTTAAAGATATTTTTAAACTAAAATAAAAACCTATCTGAAAAACTAATAAAACTGGTGAGTGCTTCCCTAGCAACCATAAAGTCCTGAGTTCAAAACCCAGTACTTCCAAGAAAGGGAGAGAGAAAGAGAGAGAGGAAAAAGAATAAAAGTCCGTCTTCAACAGTGGTTTTTCCTCAATCATTTTTGCATCCTGTATAACACGGGAATCTTTTTCTTTACTGTTGAGTGGAAATAGATTGGACAGCATCTCCGCCAGAAGTCATATACTTCCCAGAACTTCAGAATGTAGCTGTATGTGGAAACACATTGATTTCAAATTGCTAAGATGAGGTTATTCTTGTCTTTACTCTGTTGTTGCTTGGTCTCCTTATAAAAATGAAAGAGATACAGAGATATAGGATAATGGCACCTGAAGATGGAGGGAGCTCTTGGAAAGATAAGGCTGTAGGCTAATAGCCATCCATCAGGTAACACTGGCAGCTACCAGAAGTTAAGGGAACATGAAAGAGTCTTCTCAGAGTCCTGTCAGAATCTTCAGAAACACCTGGGTTGTTGGATACTTTCCTCTAGAAGAGTAAGAGAACGTGTTGCTACCATTTTAAACCATTAGTTTCTGGTTATGGTTTACTGAACCCCATGGAGCTTAATGCTCTTGTGTAAAAAATATCTTAAGTAATATGCATGAGAGAAGTCCTTCAGTCAATACAAAATTAGTTTTGAAAAGTCTCTTGCAGAAGTATATGTGCTACTTTTTGTTATTAGGCTTTATTACAGGGTAAATAAAATGCACAAGTAAGTGTTTTAAAGGCTTGACTAGAGTGTTTTTGAGAAATTCAAACAGTGCACATAGAAAATAAAGCTATTATAGTGACTATGCAGTGATTGTCTATTGCTACACTAACTACCTTCTAATCAGGTTTGTTAGTTTAAGAAAATAATAACTACACAATTTTTAGTTGGTATACTTACTTTTTGTTTATAATGTCTTAGTTTCTGAGTTCTCTTTGAGGAGTCTAGCATTTATATAACTTTAATATTATTGAAATATTTATTATGCTAAAACCAACAGTCTATTAAAGAATACAGTGGGACAGTTGCTTTGATTAACTAATATGTTTGAAAATTACTTGGAATTATTTGAAAAACATTGCTCTTTAGTTTTTGTAGGGTTAAAGATTAACCATTTACAAAGAAACAAATTCTGGCTCTTCTTTTTTTTAATTTTTATTTATTTTTTATTGTGAAAATACTGTACAGAGGGGTTACAATTACATGGGCAAGATAATGAGTACATTTCTTAACAAACATTGTAGCCTCCTCCTTTGTTTCCCCTTCCCATCCCTTCCCAGCCTCCCCCCCCTGCCCCCTCCATATTCCCCCTCCCCCCACCAAAGTTGTAAAGTTCGTTTTGGACATGACAACTTGTACTTTTCATTGTTGCAACGGGTCCACCTGTATCCTTATTTAAACGACTTGTTTTCCCCCTTCCCCTCCACAAATTATACTGACATCAAATACAGTGAAAACAGGGGTTATACTGTGGGGGAGGGACATACAAAGCAACAAAGAAATAATCTTATAAATGCGTTAGAAACAAATGCATGAAAGAAAAAAAAAACATTTGAATACATATCTTAGGGTTCATTTCACCTAACATCAACTTATCTTTTTCTGCTTGTCTCAGACATATACTAGTTATTGCAAGTAAGGGAAACCATGGGACCTATGTTTCTTTGGGCCTGGCTTACTTCACTTAATATAATTTTTTCCAAGTGTTTCCATGTACTCCTCCTTTTTTCTGTTAACACTGATATGTGAATTTCTAATGACCATTGAGGTAATACTAATTTATGTTCCAACTTAACTCTGGACAAATATATATGAGTTAACGTTGGTATTTACCCTAGCAACCTAATCCCTACATGTTAGAATCATTGTAATGCATAGAAATTCAGTATTAATTGCTTGTGGTATTTTAATATAGATGTTTCTCTATTTTTTTTTTTTGTCGGTGTTGTTGGTGAACTGTGTGTGGGCCTGGGTGCTGTCCTTCAGCTCTTCAGCTGAACTCAAATGATTTTCAGTCTTGATAAGTTCTTCTCTATCTATCTATCTATCTATCTATCTATCTATCTATCTATCTATCTATCTATCTATCTATCTTTGTTTATTCATTTATTTATTTATTGCTGGTAGTGGGGCTTGAACTCTGAGCCTCACGCTCTTCCTTAGATTTTTTACCTCAGGCTAACACTCTGCCACTTGAGCCATACTTCTAGTCCTTTGTTGGGTGTCTTTTGGTGGCCAATGAGAATGCCCTAACTCAAGTATAAGAATTTATTAACTCAAATAACTGGAAAAAACAAAAAAGGTATTTTTGAGTAGTCAGATTCAGGTTTTTACAGGATATAGCAAGGCTAACACTCAGTGCTTTAAGCTTTTACATGACTTTATCCTGGCATGTTCTGTTATTATAACATCTCCTCTCCCCTCTGCTTTCCACCTCTCTTCTCTCTACCCCTCCTTTTCCCTCTCCCCCCTTCCCTTTTCACCTCTACTATGCTTTGGCAAATAGTGGTTAAAAGTCTGTGAATATAGCTATTTTTCTGTTCAGTTTTTATAATTACTGCAGTATTCTAACATATCAATAGAGATATAAAAACAGTCATTGTAGAATTTCCATTATAAAGAAGACAAGATAAGATAAAGAGAACCACTTCATTCTTTGATTTACTGAGGCTGAAGTAAACATGTACCCTCCTATACTTCTCTGTTATTAAATGGTCAACCTATGTAGTTTTTGTAATAAAATTTCCTCCTTTTTTAATAGGAAAAAAGATGAATTATTTGTAAGATAATAGATCAAAGGTAGTTAAAGAACTATGAAAAGGGGCTGGGAAGTTGGCTCAGTGGTGGAGTGCTTGCCTTGCATGCCTGAGGCCCTGGGTTCGATTCCTCAGCACCACATAAGCAAAAAGAAAAAAAGCCGGAAGTGGCGCTGTGGCTCAAGTGGTAGAGCACTAGCCTTGAGCTGAAGAGCTGAGGGACAGTGCTCAGGCCCAGAGTTCAGGCCCCACAACCGGACTCAAAAAAAAAAAAAAGAACTATGAAAAAAAAAGAAGACAAGCATTGCACTTCTTCTTTCCTATTGGAAATTGGAAATTAAAAATAAAAGAAAACTTGGAAATAGTAGAACTACTAGGGAAGGATGAGGAGACAGTAGGAAGGAAGTCAGGGGAGACAGGAGGGAAGAGGATGGTTGAGAAGGGGAACAAAATAATGACAAGATATGTGCAGAGATGGAAAGATCACAGTAAAAACCCCATTAATGTGTACAATTAATATGCATTACTAATTACAAGTTTTCAAAGCCTTTTAAAGGGAGGGAAAGGTTTCTTTAAAAACCAATGAAAAAGGCCTAAGGACCAATACATTGTACATGTTGCATGTTTTTAGGGAACAATAACTTATAGGTGAAAGGACTTGATACTTGGATCTGGTAATCTTTCCTTTTATAAACACAGAAACAGATCTGAGTCCCTGTGATTCCCACCCCCCTCACCTTCCTCTCAGCATTTATAAATTTATTCCTTAATCCTAATCAGAAAAACTCATTCTCTTTTGCTTCTGTCTTCTCCAAGATTTCGTTCATTTTGTTTGCCTCCTCTAGTTGTGTAATTCCTTCTCTCGTATCTTTCCTTTGGTCTACAAATATACTAAAAGCAAACAAAAATAACTAAATATCTCTGTAACACCTTTTTGCTTACCAGAATGCTATGCATTCTCTAATTTCTTTTATGATTTGATTTTTTTCTTTTTCTTTTTTTTTTGGGTGGGGGTTCCGGTCATGGGGCCTGAACTCTGGGCCTGGGCGCTGTCCCTCAGCTCTTCAGCTCAAAGCTAGCGCTCTACCACTTGGGCCACAGGGCTACTTCCAGCTATTTTCTTTTTGCTTATGTGGTGCTGAGGAATCAAACTCAGGGCCTCATGCATGCAAGGCAAGCGCTCTACCACTGAGCCACCTTCCCAGCCCTATGATTTGATTTCTTTTTTTTTTTTTAATTTTATTTTATTTTATTTGAGAACATACTGTACAGAGGGGTTACAATTACATGGGCAGGATAATGCATACATTTCTTACCAAGCATTGCAGCCTCCTCCTTTGTTTACCCTTCACCTCCCTTCCCAGCCTCCCCCCTCCCCCCCACCCAATCATACCCCCCCTCCCCCCCCCCACACCGACATTGTAAAGCTGGTTTTGACATGACGTTTTGTACTTCTCATTGTTGCAACAGGTCCACCTGAATCCTTAAACGACTTGTTTGTCCCCATCTCCTCCACATGTTATACTGACATCAAATATAGTGAAAGCGGGGGTTACACTGTTGGGGAGGGACATACAAAGCAACAAAGAAATAATCTTATAAATGCGTTAGAAACACATGCATGAAAGAAACGAAAACATTAAAATACATGATCTGATTTCTTAAAGAGAATCCATACCTCCAATTTTTTCACCTATTTATGATTTATCCAATTCCAGTGTGTCCTCTATAGAAATTTTTTTGTGTGAATCATCTTTGACTTTTAGTACCAGACACAACACTCAAATGCCATTTTGAACTACTTGGTTGCTTCTGTAACATTTGCTAGTGTTCATCTTTGTTCCCATAAAAATATTTTCTCCATTGCTTTCCACAAAATCACTCCGATGGGTCCACTTAGCATTCTAATTCTTGGGCTGGGAAAGTGGCTCAGTGGTAGAGTGCTTGCCTTGCATGTATAAGGCCCTGGGTTTGTTTCCTCAGCACCACATTGTCAGAAAAAGCCAAAAGTGGTGCTGTGGCTCAAATGGTAAAGCACTAGCCTTGAGCTGAAGACCTGAGGGACAATGCCCAGGCCCAGAATTCAGGTCCCATGACCAACAACAACAAAAAAATCTGATTCTTTTGTTGGATTCTTTCCCTTTCTCTAGCCCATCAAGTCAAACTATGGCTTTTGTCAATTCTTCACAAGGCATAGGTAGTTCTAAGTGTGTACATTTAGTGAGAGTAATACTGGGAAATTGGTCTACATGAAGGAGATGAGATAAGGATTTCTCATCAGTATAATAAAAAAACAAAAGATGGGAGTCCTCTTGGGTGCAAATGTAAAGCTGTTTCATTATTTTCTAGATGTTTAAAGAGGAAGTCAGTGATTTGGAGAGGTCCTCTTGGGAATGTCACATTCCTCATTCCAGTTTTTCCAGAGGTCTAGATTCTGCAAAACATTGAATTTCTTCTACCTTCCTCCAACGTTCTTAAAATTTTAGATTATGTTTCTGCTGTTTCTAGCCACATCAATAACAAGTTTTGATTAGATTAATTATAAGACTTCCTTCATTTGAATGTTACATAATTCTTTAAAGTATGTTCTTCAAATTTACTTGTTAAACTGATTCACATAAGTAGGGGGGGCAATGATATTATTAAACTTTTGTGAATTTTTTTCAAATGCAGAGATGTACAATCCATATCCTAAGTTCTTTTTTTTTTTCTTTTTTTTTTTTCCTTTTGGTTGTGGGGCTTGAACTCGGCCTGGGTGCTGACCCTGAGCTTTCCAGCTCAAGGCTAAGCACTTTACTACTTGATCCACAACGCCACTTCCATCTTTTTCTGTTTATGTGGTACTGAGAAATCCAACCCAAGGCTTCGTGCATGCTAGGCAAGCACTCTACACTAAGCCACATTCCCAGCCCTCATATCCTAATTTCTAACAGTAATACGTTCCTGAAGCCTATCTTGGTAGATGTTACATATTTTTATCATGTTTTCCTAATTATCCACACTTATTAAAATACATTTGAAATAGACTGAGTAACAAAACTTTCACTTAAATAATAGCAAATCTCTTACCTACACTCTGCTGATTTGATAAGAAAAAGGAAATGTTCTCTTCCTATACCCATGTATATTATTTTCTGTAGAATGACATCATAACTACCTTTTGTTCTGCAAAACCCTTTTGATGATGATGAACATCATGTTTAAAAAGAGCCAGCCAGATGGTTTACACACACACACACACACACACACACACACACACACACACACACTGTTTCAGAGGATGGGGAGGGGTCAGGGAGAGAATATACTTAATGTTGATCCTGTGTATTTATTCTAGAGTCAATCATTGTTTCTTTGGAGAAATACAACATTTGCCTTACAACCAGAGAATAAACATCAGCTGGTAAAGAAAGCTATTGAATTTCAAAATCCTTTTGAAATGTCACATTAACTTGTTTAACTTTCAGTCAATTCTTTAAAGTATCTAACATTTCCTGATGACTCTCAAATCTACAACTGCTTATATTTCTTCAACTGTTTCCTTCAATCTCAACTGAACTGGTAGAATTGTATCACAGCTGCAGTTTGTGCGGATTCATTCTGCAAGTTAGTTCAATTTATGACCATCAAGCATGGTCATATGCTAAATTGGGCTGATTTTTTGAAACTCTATGGTTCTAGTCTTGTATCTAGCCTCATTAAATCTTAATCTTTAAAGCTATATTTATGCCTATGTTATTTTTTTTAGCCACATAAAGGAATCAGGTAAATGCCATTGTTATTGTACTCAAACATATCAACTGAAGCCATCCACCATGGCTTATGCCTGTAATCCTAGCTACTTGGGAGGTTGAGATCTAAGGATTGTGGTTCAAAGGCAGCCTTGGCAGGAACATCCATGAGAGTGTTATCTCCAGTAAACCACCAGAAAACTGGAAGTGGTGCTGTGTTTCAAGTAGTAGAGCATTAATCTTGAACTGAAGAGCTGAGGGACAGTGCCTAGATTTAGAGTTCAAGACACACAACCACCACCAACAACAACAACAACTTGTGTGTGTGTGTGTGTGTGTGTGTATTATCAATTGAGTGTTTGCTAGACACTAAAGGTCAAAGAGGGAAGGAAGTATTCAAGAGCCACTTGTTCAAGACAAGTAGGTAAATTTTGAAATATTAGAACATAATGCTGTAAATTCTATTCCAAGAATTCCTGCACTGCATAAACATCTCTACTCAAATCACTTTTCTCGGATGTGATATTATGATCATCAAAGCATATGAATTTCTATGTTTCACCCTCATCAAGTTCCTACCTCAGGGTTTCAGCTTCCCAACATTGTTTGAATGATCTCTATTTTTACCTGAGTCCATCTGGTCAATGTTTCAGCAAAGGTATGTTTCAGACTTTCAAAGCAGTTTTGAGCCAAGCACACAAAAGAAAAATGCAAAATTAAATGGTTTCTGAAGTCCTCAATATTTTCAACATTATTGATGAGTAATCAGAAATTTGAGCTATTTTGTAATTTTTTGAAAAGCCATACTGAGAAAAGAAAAATGAAACATGAAATAAATTTTAATAGTATAATCTATTGGAAGTTTAGATTAACATGTAATTAATATAAAACAATATATTTCACATTTTCCATCAAATTCTGGTGTTTATATTTAATAGCATCTACATTTGTCCTAGTTTTATTTCAAGTGCTCAATCTCTCCAGTCTCTATATGTGACTTTATTACAGCATTGATAGCTTTTTTTCCTTTTAACAAATCCTATTCCCCACAATAACTCAAGAAAGCCATATACAATTCTGAGAAATACAATTTTAGCTTAAAGAATGAGTAATATTTTGCCTTATCAGATATGGAAGAAGAGTAGTACTATCACTCTGATCCGTGAAGAAGTTGCCTCTTTTCATTTTTCATAGAGAATGTTGCCAATGGAAAACCTAGTCTTCAAAATAAGATAAGCCAAGCTGGCACAATGGCTCAACTACATGGGATGTAGAGATTAGGGAATCATGATTCAAATCCATTCTAGGAAAATGCAGTTCACAAGACTCCATCACAACCCATGGCTAGGTACCATAGTCTTTGTCTTATCCAGGTCTAAGCAGCTGTTATCAGCTGCAGGGAAAGAGCAATGGCTGGGTACACTAGCATCTATGTGTCATTCCCAATGACATGGGGAAGAAAAATAAGTTTCAGCCCATGCCCACCTCAGAATAAAATGAATGATCCTACCTTGAAAATAACCAAGACAAATGCTAACTTGCCTGTCTATAAAAATAAATACAATCCCTAGTCCAGAAAAAATATGGAGAGCCATATAGCTAAACCAAATAGGTCCTTGTACTCTCATTTAATATCACAGAAACAGAAACCACACCAATATTACCCTTCAGACCAGAACAAAAAGGTAAGTATGTATGCTTGTAAATCAAGGCATACTAACCAGGGATAAATAATCTCAGCATATATCAAGCTAGTGATAGTGTATAATTAAATGTATTTAAAGCAAATGATTTTGAAGTAATCCTTCCTCTCACTTTCCAGACAGAAACACAGTTTTGCTCTCTCATACACAAGCACATACATAGTATTGCTGCCACCCCCCCCCCCCCACACACAGTATTGCTTTATTTTTCAGGTATCAGAATCTTTAATAAAATAATCTTGAAATGTAAATACCAAACTATAGCAGACCAAGTGCCAAAACTATAGTTCATATGCAGCAGCTATTTTCAAAACAAATCTTTAACTTTCCTCAGTTAAGCTATTTTCTGTATGAATTTAATTGTTGGAATAACAATTTTCTTGCCATTGAATGAAAAAGATCCCCCAAATTCTCTGAAGCACCAATTTTTTACCCAATTAAAAGCTCTGTTGTGTTTTTATATGGCATCATTTGGAATAGACATATCATCCTTTGAGGAAAGGGCACATTGTTAACTTTTTAAAGAGATGTAATAGGCATTTTGAATCTTTTTCTCAGAGTTAAAAAAGATCTCAATGCTAGAAGTTAATAAATGTTAATAAGATTTTTTAATGGTGGCCGCAATATTACAGTGTTAATTGCAATGAGTCATATTTTAGAGTTATTTCTTATGCAATTTGGAGAACTTTTCAAGCACATGATAAAGAATGAGGGGACTTCAGACCTGATAAAATGAGTCTACAGAGACCATTTCCTTTCTTTAATAGGCTCTAGAAATTGTATAATTAAGAATAGACTAAAGCAACTTAAAATTATAGTGCAGATTTATAGTCTTTTTAAACTCAAGAAGATTTCCACAGAATCAGTTGATGTCTACTGTTCTGAACTCAAAATTGAGTATACTTCTGCTGTTCCTCAGAACCAGCTTCTGTCTTCAACATTAACCCACTATTTAAATAGTACATTTTTACTAAATAGAAATAAAATGTATTTTCCTATTTTGATTAAAGCTATATTCCTTTACTAACCAACTTTTCTTCAGCATATAACAACTTACATTCCTGACATATGTTGAGTAATATTTAGGTTAGCCACTGCAGATGGACCAAGATTGAAACTAAAAGATTAACAACAGAAACAAACCAAAGCACCATGAAATGATATTTACCTCCCAGGTGAGTCAAGGAATTGATGCATGTGTGAGAGAATTTTGTAAACTGTGGCATACTGCACAAGTGTAAAGGAATATGTAGGAATCTGAACAGTTTGTTTTAATAGGGCCCCATATGCCCATGCCTTTGAGTCTAATTAAGTATACTTAAAGTAATTTAAAGTGACAGAACCCTGTCAATGAGGCAAACTTTACAACTGTGCAAAATTGTCATAGATAGACACATCCTAAATGAATATAGCTCCTGATCAGGAAGACACTAAACCCAAAACTTGAACCAGCTCTGCTGGTTCACTTTGCTGGAAGCCAGAAAGTATGTCACTTATGCTGTCTGGTTTCCCTCACAAGAATGTCATGGCTACAAAGGTGAAAATTGGCTCTGCATAAGAAAACTAAGATGGTGGATTAGGTATAGGCACTAGAACTCACTGTGATACAACTGATTTTTGTCTACATTAAATCTACTTTATTTCTATGCAAATTGAGCTTGAGAATCTGAACTAGAAATTTCCCAGGATCAAACCTGCACCTTTTTCATAGCACAGGTAAGAAAATGTTGTCTGATCCTTGCTCTGGGATGAGGAAATCCTTAGGCAAAAAATAGATGACCCATGATTCAGCCAATAACTTACTATGATGCTCCAATGATAACTGGAAGGATTTTTTCATATCATATTTAATAACCTACCTGTCTACCCACTTGCCTTTGTGATCTGTCAATAAGAATTTTTTTCTCAAGTTTTACTCACCTCTATCACTCTAACAGCAAGAATAAGATAATGCATAGTAAACACTCAATACATATGTATGGACCTGAATAAGAGAAGATAGCATTCAAAAACCAATGACAGCCACAGAGAAACTGAATGAAATCTGTTGATTAAAAGGGGGTTGGGGAAGGAAGAGGAAAAGAGTCTGCAGGTGGGAGTTGGGGAGGATAAGGAGGATGTCAAAACAGATTATTTTCAACTATGGAAACAAAATAAGGTACCCTGTTAGGGATGTTATTGGGTGGGGGATGGGGAACCTGAAGGGTGAGATTGATTGGAATGCAGTGCAGTCATATGTGGAAACATAACTTTAATAAAAGTCTGAAAGATACTATAAACTACATGTCTACTAGGAAAAGAATAAATTTTTTTTGTACTGGTGACTCAAATAAGAACATATTTTTCAACCAATGTTTTGCATTTTCATAACTCTTATCATCTCTAGATTTTACCTTATCCTGGATATTTCCTATATCTTTGATCATGATTCCATCATAGAGCCTAATATCTCCTATATCTAAATTTTTCTTTTCCTTTATGCTGATCTGCAGTCCTTCCCTAAGTGTCTCGGAGAAAGTGGGTCAACATAAGGTGAGGCTCATGGAAGGAAGAAAGTATATCTGGGTAAAACATGGTAGTCAGTGATTTACATCAAAATGTCCCTGAATCAAGCTGTGTCAGCAAAATATGGCCTTGTTGGTAGTAACCATTACATGGTGTGAGAAAGCAGGCAAAAAATTTAAACTGAATAGACAGTACAATCTATGGCTGTGGAAAATTGGCAGTTGTAACTAGGAAAAATGAGACTAAGCAATGAAACAAGAATATTACTATAAAGTCACTTAATATTTGTCATACAACCAGATCCTATCCATATTCTTGGGCTCAGATTGTAATGTTTCCTTACTTTCTCAGACTCAGTGTTAGATGGGGAATACAAGGAGAAAAGTCTTAGAAGTATGATGGGTAGGCTCTTTAGAGGGTAAAAGAGCAAACTGGTTTGAGACCACCAGTGTTTGGGAAAATATCTGGTGAAAGTGACCCATTTTGAAAGGTTTATTGTTTAACTTGGATAATATTGATCGTGAGATGATAAGAAACATCAAAACCAAAATATACCATCAGGCATTAGCAGATCACAAATTTTAAAAATCTGCTCAAATTTTGTATTTTTTTGCTAAAATAATGGTTCACAATAGTTATGTCTGTTGAACCAAGTACAAAATGTCACTTGGAATAGAATAGAAAATGCAGAAGTAAACCAATGTAGCTAAAGTGAGGTCACTTTTGATGCAGGAACCAAATACATAAGTTGGAGAAAATAATACTTGGAAAACATCTCTCCATGTGTCTAGAATTGGAACTAGACTCATCTCTTATCCTATAGGAAGATCAAAATGACTCAAAGATCATAATATAAAATCAGAAACTTTGAAACCAAGAAAAACAAGCAAAGGGGTTAAGCATAGGCAATGATATTCTGAATGAAACTCCCAATTGCTTAGAATGTAAGAGCAAGAATTGACAAATGGGTTTTCATCAAATTTAAAAGCTTTTGCAAATCAGAGGAAATCAGTATGAAGAGACAACCCTCAAATGGGAAAAAAAAATCTTTGTAGGCTATTCATGCATCAAAGGATTAATATTCAGAATATATAAAGGTCTATAGTATAGTACTTAAACACCAAAAGAACATGTGGCCCAATTAATAAATAGGCAAGTGAGTTGAACTGACAGCTCTCAAATGATGAAGTACAAATGGCTACTAAATGCATGGGGAACTGTTCAGACACAAAGGTAAGGCAAATCAAAACAAGACTGGGATTTTATCTTACCTTCCCAGAATGGCTATCATTAAAAAAAAAGAAAAAGAAAAGAGTATGTGCAAGGAAAAGAACTCTATGCAATGGGAAAGTGTAAGAGCTATGGAAATCATTATGGAGGCTTTTCAAAAAACAAAGAACAGAACGAGGATATGATCCTGCTATGTCCTGTATTTGAAAGAAAAAAGGTAACTATGGTAAGAAGGAATGAGAGGTGTAGTCATCGTGTAGAAGAGATGAGTATCAGCTGAGATACAAGAGAGGTTAGCCTTCTGGATGTGTAAGTGTAATAGAATGTCAAGTGGGATTTTCCTGTTTGGAAATGTGACTGAAGACAATGGTAAATTGTATCTCCATATTTAAAAGAGGGTATGCCAGACCCATCTTGAGACAATGAAAGACAGTAAGGGACTAAGGCTGTAAGAACTCTGTTTTTGGAGCAGAGCTTTCATCAAGTGAAGTAGTACATATTTGAGGACAGAAACATTCTTAGCATGAGAACTCTGAAGAACCCATTAAACATCAGAATGTCCACAGAACATATCAGTACCTGGTAGTAATAGCACTCTCAATGGATAAAACATTTCTCTGTTTCTTCATCCTTTCCCTCTCAAAATCCAATGTTGCCTAGAAGAAGAAAATGGGGTAAAGAACAAGCAGAGAATAGTATTTTGTAAAGAAGAACTGGGCTCTGTCATGTTTCCTGCTGTTAATTGGTAGAATTCTTCCCTTACACTGGGTAAGAGATCCGCATAAAATTGGATGAGAAATCAAACGCTGTCTCAGATATATTTTAATATTTAGAAATAACACAATTCTATTTCCAGCAAAAGCCAGGAAAGCAAAGGAACTAGTCTGAAAGGACAGAGAAGAGATATATGGTAGAATGGCTGCAGGGCAGCTGTGAGAGAAAGAAAAAAATAAACTGACTTTATTGTCTCCTCCTTAGCTCAGCTCATTCAACAAATAGAAGCAAAAAGGTCAGGACAATAAATATTGCTATTCATACAGTGACATAAAGCTTAAGGGAAATTGGTGAGTGGTTTTATAATTGGGTAATTTTCCCCCCCCAAAAAAAATTTTACAAAACATTTTTAAATTGAACTTCTAATGCCTTCATGTATGCTCTTAGTCAATCAAAGTCCATAGTCAAAAAAAAAAGATACTGAGAAATATTGTGAAAGAGAGCAAGGGATATGGAACAGAAATTGAGTGAGATAATACATCTTAGATGTTTTCTAATTTGCCAGCATAGTAGTGACTGAGATGAATTCACCTATCACTTGACCATTCACCAAGGTCTTGCCTGCTGGTTGGTAAAGACAAGATCCTGGCCCATTTTCAGTTTTCCTAACCGGTATTAACTAACGTTAATTACCACTTTGAGGGAGAAATTTTTATATGATTCTATCCCTATTTCATGGTTCCAAAGGCAGTCCTTTTGAAAGACTTTTCCAGGATTCTCATTTTCAACAATTTTGGAATTTTTTTTTGTTTTTTTTTGGGGGGTCCGGTCGTGGGGCCTGAACTCTGGGCCTGGGCGCTGTCCCTCAGCTCTTCAGCTCAAGGCTAGCGCTCTACCACTTGAGCCACAGCGCCACTTCTGGCTTTTTCTGCTTATGTGGTGCTGAGGAATCGAACCCAGGGCCTCATGCATGCGAGGCAAGCGCTTTACTACTGAGCCACCTTCCCAGCCCAATTTTGGAATTTTCTAGGTTCCATCAATCCACATACTTGGTGGCAATTTGAAATTATTTACCGATGAAAGGTATCTCTGCAAGGCTAGGCTTTCTTGATCTTTGTAGAAATTATAATATTAGATTGAATTAAATTGAATTAAATTCTTGGGGCTTCATTTTCTTCACTGATAAAAAGTCATATTTAACAATTTTTTTGAAATCAAATGGAAGAAAGCATATCATGGCCTTTAAGTCTCCCGTGACATGGGTTCTTCTTGTCTTTCCAACTTTTTCTCACACCATCATTTTCCCTCCTGCCATACTAGGCCATTTTTCTCCTTATTTCCCTTGCACGGATTCTTCTCCCTACATATAGTTTTATTCCTCCAAGGGAAAGAATGGTACCAGCTTCATTCTATGAAGCTAGTATTACCCTTATTCCAAAAGCATATAAAGATAGAACAGAAGAAGGAAAGGGAAAGAGAAAGGAAAAGAAAGGGAAGGGAAAGAGAAAGGAAAAGAAAGGGAAGGGAAGGAAAGGAGAGGAAAGGAAAGGAAAAAGAGAAAAGGGCAAGGAGGGAGGGAGAGGGAAGGAAAGATATTAATTTTCCTGATGAACATAGACAAAAATAAAATACAAATTGATTGACGAACACATCAGAAATACCATACACTCTGATCAAGTTGGTTTCATTATAAGGATAGGACAGTTCAACATACACAGATCAATAGACGTAATACAGCATGTAAATATAGTCAAGGACAAAAATCACATGATCATCTGAACCGATGTTGGGAAGGCCTTTGAAAATTTTCAGTGTCTCATGATAAAAATATTCCCAGGACTGGGAAGGTGGCTCAGTGGTAGAGTGCTTGCCTCGCATGCATGAGGCCCTGGGTTTGATTCCTCAGTAACACATAAGCAGAAAAAGAAGTGGCACTGTGGCTCAAGGAGTAGATCACTAGCCTTGAGCTAGAGAGCTGAGGGACTGTGCCCAGGCCCAGAGTTCAGGCCCCACAACCGACCAAAAACAAAAAAAAATCCCAAAGAAACTGAAAATATAGCATCATTAACATTTTTAAAATCTAAAAAAATAAAAAATATTAAAACTGTCTGGCTCTACATGCATAACAACCCTAACCAACTTCTTTTTTAAAGAGTGACTATTTTCTTCTAATTTTATACCATTTACTTTTCTTTAAAAACAAATCTTAGCATTTGGGAGTGTACTGAAATCTTTGTCATTAAATCCACAAAAAAATGGCCATCTATGCAATCGATAAGTTTTATTTTCTGTATTTTAAACCATCATAAATTGTACTGCATCCATAAGAGATAAAACAACAAATAAAAATTCATAGAACTCAACAAAAATGTCATACCTCAACATAATAAAAACTATATATGACAAACATATAACCAACATTACACTGAATGTGAAAGAATTCATTGTTTATAACACAGAATTGAGAAATTATAAGGTAAAGAGTTGTTCAAAGGGGGATGGAGATGTTGAAGTGGTGACACAGATCAAGATGCATTGACACATAAACAGCTTTGTTAAATTGCAAAAATGTCAATACATAACCTACAATTCAGATAAAAGGGACAGGGAGTTGGGAGGGGCAGGTGAGAAAGGGGTGACATTGATCAAGATGCTGCATTCATAAATGGCATTGGCAACTCCTCTGTACAATAACTTAAAGGTAATTTTTTAAATCATTTCCTCAACCATCAGGATCAAGATAAGACTGTCCACTCCTCTTGATTGAATTCTTAAGACTGTACAGGAAAAGACAAAGAAGGAAAAGGGATAGAAATGGGAAAAATGAAGTAGTCAAACTCTTCTTATTTGCATATGTAATTCTATATTTAAAAATCATAACCAGAATTACATGCCTGTAATCCTAGCTATTCGGGAGGCTGAGTTCTTAGGATCCTGCTTTGAAACCATGGTGGAAAGCACCATAAGCTCAGGCGTATGGGTTTGAGCTTCTGTTTGGGGCGGAGGAAGCTTATAGAACTGGCAAATACGTGTAGCAATTTTATATGATACAAAATCAACTTACAAAAATCAGATGCTTTTCTATATACTAGTAATATGCTGAGAAACGAATGAGGAAAATCATTCCATTCAGAATAGCCTCAAAGAAGACCTAGGAACAGACTTAGTTAGCCAAGGATGTCAGAGACCTTCCCAAAGTAAACTGTAAAACATTGAAGACAGCATAACGAGATGCAAAGTCTTCACCTATTCATCAAATAGCAAAATTAATATTGCAAAATAACTGTTTCTGAAGGTGATCTACAGTTCAGTGTAGGCCACACAGGAATCATAATGAAATTCTTGACAGAGATAGAAAAATATTCTGTAATTCGTATAGAAACATAAAAGGTCCTAAATAGCCAAGCAATCCTGAGTAAACAAAACTAGAGCTTTCCAAATACCTCATTTCAAGTTATACTACAGAGGATCCAGAATAAAATCACTATACTGTAACAAAATGTGTGTGTGTGTGTGTGTGTATGCACCAATGACATAAAATAGAGAACCTAGAAATAAACCCCATCAGTTATAGCCACCAGATTATTACATAACTACATGGAACTAAACTGCTATCTTTAACCCTGTATAAAAACCAAAACAGATTAAAGACCTTAACAGCGATAATCACAAGACAATGTTGGGAATAACTGTACAACTTGGCAGAGGTGGGAGGGGAAAGGGGTGTAAACAAGTTCGACAAGAAATGTGTCTACTGTGTTACATAAGTAACTGTAACCCCTTTGTACATCACTTTGACCATAAAATTAAAATGAAAAATATCTGAAACTATGAAACTACTAAAGAGAATCACAGGCAAGTTATAGGCTAATCAATGGCTTTCTGTTTTAAATAATCTGTAAGTAGTTGTACAAAGGAGTTGCCATTCAACAAAGAAATGTATGAATACAATGCACCTTGATTGATGTTGCCCTTTCAATGTTCTCATCCCTCCCTCCCTCCCTATCACTTCTCTTAAATTTTGTAGGGTACAGAATTTTTTTTTTTTTTTTTGGTCCAGTCGTGGGGCCTGAACTCTGGGCCTGGACGCTGTCCCTCAGCTCTTCAGCTCAAGGCTAGCGCTCTACCACTTGAGCCATAGCGCCACTTCCGGCTTTTTTTCGAACCCAGGGCCTCAGGCATGCAAGGCAAGCGCTTTACCACTGAGCCACCTTCCCAGCCCCAAGGGTACAGAATTTTTGACTACCTTCTCCCCTCCTCTTTACCTACACCCTTTCCCTTGACTTGACACCAACATTTTCAATTACCTGTTTTGTTGAGCTATGATTTTGTCTTTCTAAGGAATTAACACTGTTTGAGTTCTCTCCTAAATATACCACACTTCAATTAATACATTTATGTACACATGCATTCCACTCAAGATAATTACTTGTATATTTGTAAACCAATTCTAGCTTCCACATCTAAGGAAAAACATGCAACCTCTGCCTCTCTGGACCTGTCTTACTTCAAATACTTCCATTTCTTTTCCAATGATGCAATATCATTCCCTCTAATAGATGAATAAAATTCAATTATGTTTATATATTACATTTTCTTGATGCATTCATCCATTGAGGACCATCTGAATTGATTCCATACCCTGGCAATGGTGAATAGGGGTTCACTCTATCCTATTTTGTAATCATTGGGATAAATTCCTAGGAGTGGAATTGCTGGATCAGAGGGTAGTCGTATGTTTAGTTTGTCAAGGAACCTCCATATAGTTTTCCAAAGAAGTTGAACAAGTTTACCAACAGTGTGTTAGGGGTCCATTTTGCCCACTTCCACATCAGTATTTATTGTTGTTTGTATTCTTAATGATGGCCATTGTAACTGAGGTGAGGTGGAAACTCAGTGTTGTTTTGATTAATATTTATTTATAATGGCCAGAGATGGTGAGATTTCTTCATGTGTCTATTGGCCACTTTACTTCTTCTGGGAATTCTTTATTCATTAGCCCATTTATGAATTGGGCTGTTGATTCTTTGAGGATTTAGTTTTTAAGCTCATTGTTTGATGTATAGCTAGCAAAAGTCTCCCATTGTATAGGCTGCCTTGTTGGCTTGTTTAGCAATGATGTACAAAATAAGAGCAAGAACTGGCAAGTGAGACTGTACCAAATTAAAAGATTTTTGTATGTCAAAGAGACAATTAGTAGAAAAAGAGAAAGCTTACAGAATTGGGGAAAATCTTTAGCATTTATTCATCTGACAAGGAATTAATATTCAGACTATATAATGAATTCAAGTAATTAAACACCAAAGAAAGAATAATTAGATCAATAAATGGGGAAATTAATTGAACAGATGGTTCTCTAAAAAAGTACAAATGACCAATATGTACAGGAGGAAAAAGTGTTCAACATCCTTAGCCGTAAATAAATGTGAATAAAAATGATTACATATCCCCTATGGCTATGAATTATATATATATATAAAGTATACATATGCATTACACATACCCATACAATAATAGAGTGAATTATTGTGGAATCTGCATAGTAGAGAACAAATTATGTCATTTTTAGGAAAATTAATGGAATTAATCATCTTGTTAAGTAAAATATGATGGAAATGATCAACATGTTAAGTGTAATAAGCAAGATCCAGAAAGACAAATAATAAGTATTTTCTTTAAACTGGAGGTATGATTAAAGTGGCTAGCATGAGGCTCCGAGTTCAAATCGCCGTACTGCTTAAAAAAAAGGCACCACCAACACCACCTCCACCACCACCACCAACAAACAGTTTTCTCTCATATATGGTATCTACATTTTAAGGCATGTAGATGGTAGGGAAAAGAAAAAAAAAATAGGTTCCTTAGATGGGCAGAGTTAATAATGGGGGTGGACTGAGATCAAAGTATTTTATATGTGAAAATTTTATAATGAATCTCATTATTTTATACAATACATGTGCAATAATAAAAAATGAACTGATAGACTGACTCAATTATAAATGGCCATAAAACTCACCAAATCAGTTGCATTCAGATCTGATGTAAATATAATCATTTGAGTTATTTATATAAACGTTAACTTCTAAACTCTATTAACTTGAGTTTTCTTGAGTGGTTTCTGAGAAACTCAGAGCTGTTACTGCGATGTCTATGTCCATGTATCTGTTTCGTCCTAAGCCAAATTTGACTATGGAAACATTCTTAAAGGAATTAAAAAAGAAAACCATCCCTCTGGAGAAGCTGCATGATTTTGCCATCATGGATCTGTAAAGGATCTTAACAGAGTGATTAAAGCAAGTCTTTTAATTCCATATCTAAGCTCCATAATCAGGCTTTCTCTTTTTAAGATCTCCAGGAATATGGACACCATAATCTCTTTATAACTCATTTTAGAAAGAGCCTGAGCAGGGTCCCTCAGCTCTTCAGCTCAAGGCTAGTGCTCTACCACTTGAGCCACATTGCCACTTCCAGTTTTCTGATGGTTAATTGGAGATAAGAGTCTCATGGACTTTCCTGCATGAGCTGGCTTTGAACCAAGATCCTTAGATCTCAGGCTCCTGAGTAGCTAGGATTATAGGCATGAGCCATGGATGCCTAGCAAAAGTTACTCCTTTACCTACCATTTCCCTCCCCTTAAAACTATTCCCTCAGAATGCAAACATGCTATGAGCTCATTGGTATGCTTGCAGTGGGGAAGTCTGCCGCCTGTCACACTCCTCAAAACAGCCTCATTTCAGTTTCTCCTGAGAGTAAAATGAGGAACAACGGGTCGAAACTGTGTAGATCATAATACTTCGTTGAAAAGAAAAAAAGTCAAAATTCACTTTTTGGAGCCTAGAGCTATCAGTTCAATGAGCTCATTCACAAAGCACTGAAAACCGTATCACCGAAGAGTAGAAAACACTAGTGGCCTTCTGAGTTTTCAAGGGTTAGAAAGTATATAAACATAAAATATCTATGGAAGCCTATAAGATAATTCAGTCTCATTCAAGGACCCCCTAAAACAAAATCAGGAATGAAGGTGGGTAACTTGAACCTCATGCTCTGTAAAACCCATATTCAAGTGCACATTATCAGGTGCACTATATTAAACCAAGTGGTAGAATAGGAAGTCTCTGCCTTTCTTCCCCCACAGAACACTGACCATATACAGTCTAAAAAGCATGTCTGAGAAGACCAGAAAACAACGAAGAAGTTACAGTACCTCCAATCAAGCATAAAACAACAAAAAAAAAGAACTTGTTGAAATGGACAATAAAAGCAATTTCTTTCATAATTACCTATACCTACAAGCTAGCATAACTTACTGAGAGCAGAAGAAAAATGTCCAAATCATGTCCACTTAGCAGAGAAGAAGACTGTTTTGACTTCATAGGTTGCTGACTAAGGGATTAGGTGTTTTGTTTTGTTTTGATTTGTTTGTGTTTTGGGGTTTTTGTTTTTTTTTTGCCTCATACAATTCAGAGTATAGACAGGAAAATGGCATGGTTGAGATGTATTGGGCCTTTGAGAGTAAAGACCGCTTCGAATATAGTTGAAAAATTTTAGAACCTGTAATACATAAACAGATACCAGAGAGAGAGAAAGAGCACATGAGCTCTGGGGAGGGGGGAGGGGAATCCAGCAAATCTAACTGGAAATTACGTGTTCATGCTCAGAGAAGAAATATAGCCAGACAATGTTTGCAGGTTTCCATACTCTCTAGCTAGAATGAATGATTGGTAAAAATCTTCTATGTAGATCCAGACTAGAAAACAAGGAAGGTTACTATCTAATGTCAAAATCTCAGCAAAAATCTAATAAGGCATAAAAACAAACAAGAAAACAGCCCAAGGAAATAAACAAGAGGAATCTTCCAAAGCTAGTTGTAAAGAAGCAGAAATCTGTGAATTATGTGGTAATGAATAAAACATAAACATCTTTAAAAAGTTTAGTGAGCTATAAAGAAGTCAGTCAACCAAATTCAATCAAGAAAATGATGCATAAACAAAATGAATAGATGAATGGATTAAACTTTTCAATCAAAAAAAGAAGCTATGAAAAAAAACCCACAGAAATCTTAGCCCTTATGAATTCTGTGTAAAATTAAAGAGAGCCAACAGAAAGTTCTATCAAGAAGAAAACTCACCAAATTCAAGGACAGTCCTTTTGAAGTAATTAAATCAGAAGAAAAATAATAAATGAAGAAAGAAAAATGAGAAAAACGATACTTAAGGGGTACCTTGAAGCAGACCAGTATATGTCCTATGGACTTGCAGATGGATAAAAACTTAACTGTAGAGAATATATGAAAAAATAATGGTTGAAAATTTCTCAAGTCTGAGAAAGTTCTCAGATACCTAAATTCAAATAGCTGAAAGCATTCCAACTAGAATAGACCAAAAGAGGAACTTGCCAAGGCTCATTATAATCAAATTGTCCAAAGTGAAAGGTGAAGAGTATTCTTGAAAGTAGGTGAAAACACTTATCACGTAGAAGGAAGGTTTTTAAATAAGT